GGGAGCAGCTGGGTACTGGGGGGCCAGCAGGCTGGGGCTGTGCTGGAGAAGATGCCTCATGGCTGGAGGGACCCTGAGACAAATGCTGGGTCTGTGCTCCACATCACTGTCCTCATGGGCCGACCCTGCTAATCAGCTGTGAAAGAGAGAGAGAAAGCTGGAGAGAAATCCTTCTCTCTGCTAACCTCATCACAATAAAGATTCCTATAAAGAGCTCTTATCCTTGAAGAAAATGAGGCACATAAGCAGGAATAGTAAACAAAAGGCTGTCATTTTGACCCAGGAGTGCTTCATGTTGTTGGCAACTTCCAAGAGGAAACATAAAGAGAGGCTGCATCCAAGTCCCAATTATGCAGAACTATGTGACTGATATGTCAATGAGTCCCCCCGGGAGGAGACCACCAGCACTTCCCAGGGCTGCCTGCACAGCATCTGCACCCGCCGCCACGGCCGGGCCGCCCGCGCCCCGAGCACAGGCGTGTGTGGCATCGGAAGAATGCGGGGGACAAGGTAATGTCATGGGGAACGCTATCGCCAGAGTCCTCGCCGCACGCGCATTATCAGCGCGGGCCCCGGAGTCAGGGACTGCGGGCAGGCAGCGGTGCTTGGCAAACAGTAGTGCTGGCCCCACCTGCTGCAGGCACGCTCCGGGAACGTGGCGCAGGCAGGAGGGCTGCCCCGCGCCGATAAGCTGAGTGGATGGAGATAAAATCCGAGCAGGAGATATGCTTTGCTGAGCATCAAGGCTAAGCACCAGCAAGGAGCCAAAGCACGCTGCGGCCCGCCGCGGGTGGTGTGGGTCCGCGGGCTCCGGCTGCGCCGCAGCCGTCAGGGAAGGAGATGGGACCAGGAGACTCCAAACCAACAGTGGGAGCTCTGGTGACAGATGTGGCAGTGCTTGGGCCCATCGAGGGCACAGAGCTGTGCTGCTCCCGTGGCCAGGACAACACTGCTCAGGGCAGCAGCGTTGGGGCCTATCCCCAGCCCTGAACATCCCCTCCCCAGCACGTCCCGTGCTGCTGGAAGCCAGACCCACCTCATCCTTCCCTCCCGTGTGCTGTGGCTTCCAAAATGTCGCCTGTCTGTGCCTCCTCACTGTCCCGAGGAACCCCTAAGGTTGCTGGGAGCCGGCTCTACCTGGTGTCTGTGCAGCCACTCCAGCACGGCCTTCCCAAATCCACCCTCAGAAATCCACCCTGACGCCACGGCCAGGCCGCGCCGGGCCCGTGCGCTGGCCCTGACCATGGCCGCACGCCCACTGCAGGAGCCAGGCCACAGCCTTGGCCAGGGCCCGCGCAGAGGAAAGTGCCCAAGGCCGGCAGGGACGTATTTACCCCCGAAAGCACCTTGCTGCAAAAATAGCAAGTGGCCGGTGTGAGGCCGGGGCTTCCCAGGGGAACAATGCCTGGCAGGAGGAAGCGGCCGCGGCCGGCCCGCAGCCCTGTCCCGCCTCGCGCGGCGCTGAGCCGCGAGCGCTGTGTGCCGGCCCGGCAGGGACCTTGAACCTGACACAGATTTATTTTCTCTGACATTGGCATCGCATCGGAACATCTGGCATGAGGCTGATAATTGCTGGGGATCAGGGCGGAAGCCACTCCAGGCCTGGCGCTTCTTCCAGAGCTCTGTTTTCATTAGTTTTTCTCCTCTCTTCAGCTGCAAAGCAAGGAAAAAACAAGCAGGGCTGTGCAGCCCGCACTCCCACTCCTCTCCCCTCAGCACCCGGGGCTCGCTGCTTCCCTCACTCTGCATGGGAATACTGCAGGGCACCTCACTGTCACACCATGTCAGGGCTGTGCTGATTCCCTGAGCCTAGAACTGTGGGTCCTGCTGCTCCACCCTGGTTACCAGCAGCTGCTTGGCCAGAGCAGAGCCGTGGCACAACCTCTGCTGGGCTGGTGTGGGGCTTGAGGCAGCCACCTCTTCTCAAAGCTGTTGTCACTGTGGGATGAAGCAGAGAGCAGGACACTGCAAACATGTGGGGAGACACCGTGGCGATGGATGGATGGAGCATGGGGCTGGCAGTGAGAGCAGATCCCTGCTCTAGCAGGATGGAAGGGTTTCTCACGCAGCCTCTTGCCGTGGCATTGCAGTTCCTGTGTTGCACAGGGTGATTGGAAGCTGAGATCTGCCGGCACAGTGCCTGTGGATAGGATGGAGCATGGCAGTGAAATGTGGGGAATCACACATGGCAAAAACACAGCCAAGGCGTGGCTGCCTAGGCCCAGGAGGAGCACTGGCTTTCTGTGAGTGCTGTTCTGGCAAATGAAGAGCTGCTGCCCATGGGCACAGTGAGCCCCAGGGACCTGTGACTGGGGCCCTGAGTGTGGAGGAGCCTCCTCCCATCCTCCCCTGCAGAGGAGACTCTCAGGGCCGAGGAGGCTGTGGCTGCATCCCGATGCTGGGTGGGTGAGGTGAGCTCTCGTTCCTCCCAGAGGTGTCCTGCCCCGTGCCCTCGGCCGCCTCCCTCCTGCCCTGGGCCATAAATCAGGGTGGCCCTGGGTGCTGGGGCACTCTGGTGCCCCCCACCTCCCTGCAGGGTCTCCCTCCCGGGGCACCTTATCTGCTCCAGGGGTTCCACTTATCTTCGCTGTCACTTTCTAATGCTAGTTTATGGGCAGCGTTTTGTAGCTTAATTATGATGTTTTTCAGCATGGTCACGTGGCTCCAGAAGCCAATAAGGCACCGAAGTGGGTCCATCCTGGCTGAGCCTGGCCCCCATGGGGAGGAGATTGGCCGGTGTCCTGCCCGGGGCGGCGTGTGCGCAGCCAGAGCCCCAACACCTTCCCAAGAGACGCAGGTCCCCATAAATCCCCCGGCCTGCCGTGGACAGGGCACGGTACCCACGCCCCACGGAGGCTCCTCGGGTCGCAGCTCCTGGCCGGTGGCCGAGCGAGGCTCTCCCAGCCGCCGGCCCCACGCGCAGCAGCCGTGCAGCCGCCTCGCGGTGAGTACGTGTCCGTGGGGGGATCCGCTCCCATCCCGGCCATCTCCCAGCCACGGCCGCCATTCCCCGCCATGGTGGCAGCCAAGGCCGGAGCTGGGGACGCGGCAGGGCTTGGTGAGGAAGCGGGAGTCGTGTGTGGGCCTCCGCTTCCCGTCCCGGCCCTCGGCAAGCGTGGGGATGGCGGCTCTGCAGATCACGGGCAGCAGAGCGAGGCCTCACCACAGCCTTGGCCCCACGGCCGAGCTGCTGCTCAGAAGTGACAGATCGGGCTGCTGAGGGGCTCTGGGAGCCCAGCTGGCAGTACCTGGGGGTCCCCGGTCACCCAAGGGTTGGGAGTTGCCCATTGGAGCACAGGCAGCCTCCACACCCTGGAGCAGGCACGGGAGGCATCTGAGACCCCTTGACTAGTGGGGTTGGCTGAGCCCGTGTCCTGTCCCCACCCCACAATGGCAGGGATCACAGCCTTCATCAGCCCTGAGTTGTTTTTGTTCCTTGCAGTGTTTGCTCAGTTCTCCCAGCTCAGAGCCCCTCCCGGGCTCCTTTTCCAGGATGGCAGGTCCTGCTCCGTGGCTGCCTGGCAGCTCCCCCGGGAGCTGTGGTGACTGTGGGGGCCCTGGCTGAGGGCTGTGCCGGCGGTGGGAGCGCTCCTTCCCGGCCGAGCAGCGGCTGACCCGCGCTGCAGAGCGCTCTGCTGCTATTCTTAGCCCGGGCTCCATTGCTGGTGGCTCTGGAGTGATGCTCCACTGAGCCTGTTTCCTGCTTGCTGCTCTCCCTGCCAGCACTGCTTCCTACCCACTGCACCCGTGGGCAGCTGTGTGTGGGGTGAGCTGGGTGGCAGGAGATCTGTGGGATGATGAGACAAACCATGCAGGGTCAGCCTGGCAGGATCAGCCGTGTGGGGCCGTCAGCCATGCCCTTCCTTTGCAGGGCACTGCCAGCAGCTCAGTCCCCAGCTGTGTGGGGCTCCAGGCACACAGAGCCTCGGGCCCCAGAGCTGCTGTGCTGGCAGCAGGCTCCCACCATGCTGGGACAGGCTCTGCACCAGCCACGAAGGGTCCCTGACTCGATGGGTCAGCCCTGCAGATGGGCTCAGCTCCAGTGCCTGGCTCAGAGCTGGAGCCTTGAGCTCCCCGTAGCCAAGTCCCAGGCGAGGTGTGTGGCCCGGGGGCATCCTGATAAACAGGACATGCTGGCAGCCAGGGTGCTCCTGTGCTGGCCTGCTGCCGTCATTTCATTTCATCAAGAAACCCTCATTGTGAAGCATGGATTCAATACCTGCTGTCTGACAGGCAGACCGGGACACCATTGGGTGCTCCTGGTGGGGTGCCCAGGGCTAGGTCCAAACTCATCTCCTCAGTGGTGGCCCCAGGGGAGATTTCAGGAGCTGCTGCACACCCCAGTGTTCCCCACACAGCTCTCCTGGGGCTGGCAGGAGCAGCTGGTGGGGGTGATTTTTTTCTCACAAAGCTGGTGGTCCAGGGCTGTGCACCGAGCAGAGCAGGCTCTTGCCCAGGCATGGTGAATTTTGCTCCAGCCCTGAGACTCCTGGTTCTCAGCAGGTCCTGCCTCTCTCAGGCTGTGCCCTCCAGAGAGGCTGGGGGACTTGTCGTTCCCCATAGATGGTGTGAGGGAGCAAGGAGGGTCTCACGCCCCTTCCCGCAGAGCGGTGCCCCTTGCCTGTCCCTGGGGGAGTCCCCGGGGGGATCCCCGATGCTGCCGAGGCCTGGCCGAGCCGCTCCCCAGCCCGGCCGCGGTGTCCCCGCTCCCCGGGCCGGCGGGTCCCTCCGCCCCCGCCCCGTCCCTGCCGCCGCGAGCCGCCCGCTCTCCCAGAGGAGGTTCCCCAGCCCCGGGGGGCTGGCCGTGAGCCCGCACCAACATGGAGATGCTCTTCCAGGCGCTATAAAGAGCTCCGGCTCCCGCACCTGCCGCTCGGTCTCCACCGCGCCCACTCCCGGTCCGCACCCAGCGCCGGGGCTGGGGCCGCCGTCCGTCCCCTTCCCCGTCCCATCCCGTCCCGCTGACCACGGCTCGTCCCGCAGCAGGGCCGCTGGAGGGGATGGACTATTCCTATGATGAAGACCTGGACGAGCTGTGTCCGGTCTGCGGGGACAAGGTCTCCGGGTACCACTACGGGCTGCTCACCTGCGAGAGCTGCAAGGTAGGACCGGCCGGGGCCGTGCGGGGTCGGGGCTGCGGAGCCGGGGCCGTGCGGGGCCGGGGAAACGCAGCTGGGGCCGTGCGGGGCCGGGAAGCGGGGCCGGGGCTCGGCGTGACCGGTGCCTTGTGGGGCCTGGGCTGTGGGGAGAGCGCTGCACGGGGACGGGGGGTCCGGGGCTGTGCAGGGAGCGGGGACGGGGCTCTGCAGGGGCCGGGGCAGCGGGACCGGCCGCGGGGCTTCTCTCGCCCGTTTTCGTTAGCGGCGGATTTGCAGCCGGTGGCGGGAGGGGAGCGCGGCCGCGACGGGAGCCCCGAGCGCGGCGGGAGCCTCTGCCGAAGGCGGGTGGCGGGGACGGGGTGTCGGTGCCGGGATGCCGGTGTCGGTGACCACCGCATCGCCGCCGCCCGCCGCCACAGGGCTTCTTCAAGCGCACGGTGCAGAACAACAAGCACTACACCTGCACCGAGAGCCAGAGCTGCAAGATCGACAAGACCCAGCGCAAGCGCTGCCCCTACTGCCGCTTCCAGAAGTGCCTGACCGTGGGGATGCGCCTGGAAGGTAGGGACGGCACGGCACGGCACGGCACGGCGGGGCGGGGGGCGGCGGGGCCGGGGACTGGGTCGGGACTGTGCGGTTGCCGGGACCGGTCGCGCTGTCCCCGCCGCCGCCACCTCCCCGGGCCGGTCAGTCCCGCCGCCGCTTCGATTCCGTTTTCCTCTCCCAAGTTAAGAAAAAAATCGTTTTTTCGCGTCGTGTCCTTCTTTTCCTTGTTTCATTTTGTTTGTTTCCCCGGGGTTCCCGCTGCTACGGCTTCAACTTTCCAGGATTTTTTTTTTTTTTTACTGGCAGGAAGGTTGGGAAATAGCAAATAAATTACTGTTTTCCTTAAGCACATAATTCCAGAAGCCGAGACTTAAGGAAAAACGTTAAAAATTATGGGGATCGCAATAAAACTGCCACAGATCCACCACGAATTATATTTTTCCTCTCGGTGACATTTAATATAACGGATTTCTGACCCCCGGGGGGACGATTCCAGCCCCACAGCCGCCGCCTCTCTCTGATGTCGGCGCAGAGGATCCCGACATCAGAGTCGGGCCCCGACAGTCCGTGCCGCGGGTTCTGCAATGCTCAGCATCCAGGAACGAAATGTATTTGAGGGGACAGGTCGCCGGCACGGGATGGCAGAGCCAAGGCAGGGGCAGAGGAGCCCCGCACTCCCGAGCCGGCCGCCCCCTCCCCACACCTCCCCTGAAATCGTTTGCGTTTTGCAGCGGGTGGGAATGGGCTGAGTGCTCCCGCCCGACCCCGGCGGGGCTGAGCCGGGCTCGCTGCTCGGGACGCAGCGCGGTTCATCGCAAAGTCCTTCGCGTTCTGGCAGGGCGGCCGCTCGCTCCGGGAGCGGGGTGGGAGCCTGCGAGCAGAAGCGCAGGAGTAAGACACAACATCGAGCTGCAGATTCAGCCCCTGCAAACTCCCGGCGTGGGCTGCCTTCCAAAACAGATCCCAGTTCCACTCTCCTCCCTGAGCTGGGGTTACTGGTGCCCTAAATCTCTCGGTGCATGCTCTGGCTGTTTTGATCGATGTCGCAAGGGGATTTGGGCGCTGGGCAGGGGCTGCAGACCCCACGGCAGAAGGGCAGGGACAGTGCTTGGAGTGCCCGGGGAAAAAGGCAGGGTCTCAATTTGTCCCTTTCCAGCAGTTTCTGTCGTGTACGTGTGGAGGTGCTTTAATCCCAGAGCTGTCCCAACAGGCTTTTCGTGTGTGTTTTCTTGCTGCTGGCTCCTCAGCAGAGCTGGGCAAATGAGGCAATCACCCAGCAAAGGCGATATTCCATGGAACCGTCTCTTTTGTAGTAAAAAAGAGACCACCTTTTTCAGCTCCGAGTATTTTTGGGCAAGGCATCTGAGGTGATGCTTTGGAGGTGAGTCTACAGGTCCACACAACAAGAGCACCCCCGAAGTGATTGATTTTGGGAACACAGTGTTGACACAGGCACCCCTCAGAGTGCCTGAAGGGAGGTGGCAGCGGGAGGAGAAGCACAGCCCTGGCCGAAGGCTGCCCACGGCCCTGGGGGCACTACCCATGGCACCTTCCACGTCCCTGCCCTGGCAAAGAAAGGTGGCCAAAGGGAGGCAGAGCCTGGCCAGCAGCCTGCCCCAGCCAGGGCTCTGCACTGCTATGAGAGCAGGCAAGGCAGTGCAGGTGGGAAGGGGGCTGAGGGTGCTGGAGACCCCTCCTGCCACCGTCTGGGTGTGTGCCTCGGGGGCCATCTGCAGATGGTTTTGGGGTTATTGCTGGGGGTGCAAGCACTTCGTGGGTGGCTCCACTTGAGCCCCCTTGCCCTGGAGGTCAGGATGCATCATCTTCCTCTCGGCTGTCAGCCGGGACACAGCAAATGGCAAGTTGCTCCCAGTCCCAAGTGTAGCACAAATGGCAGGAAAAGCAGGGCAGGAGGGAATTAGAAGGCCTTTTCTCCCTTTGTGTTCTTGCTGGGAGAGGGGAGGAGGTGTATGCAGTTGCCTCTGGAGGGCTTGTGAGACCAGGCTGTGAGCACCTCTCGCTGTGTGTGGGAGTGCAGGCAGCCCTAGGAGGGTCTCTGCCTGTGCACCTTTGCCAGGGTCACAGGGTTTGCTTTGGGATGCCGTCCCTGGGTGTGCCCGACCTCGGGCAGCGCTGGGATAACTTCGAGCGCTTGTGCGATTTGGGTTTTGGTGCGCTCTGAGGTTTTTGGCCAGGGCTACCAGACCTGCGTGTGCCAGCTTGGACTGCCATCCTCTCTGCCTGTGTGGGACCCCAGCCGGGGTGTGCACAGGTCTGAGTGTGGCCGCTCCCTGGGACCCGAGCCGGGAGCTGCCCCGGGACAGCTCCGTGCGGCCCAGAGGGGCGTGGGCCGGCTCTGGGGAGCGGGGACACAGCACCCCTCTCTTCAGAGGCTGCCGCTGGCAGCCCGCTCCCAGCGAGATGCTGTTTTCATGAATAAAGAATGAGGGAGGAAGCCAGGGCGGCTCTCCTGGGAGCGCATTCCTGCTCGTCCTGGAAATGCTGCTGCTCCCGGCCACCCTCCGCCTTTCCAGCCTGCCTTGGGAGCGCTGGGGAGGTGCTCCAGCTCTCCGGGGGGGGGGGCTGGCTGTGAGCCCCAGGATCAGTAGGCGAAAGAAAGGCAGAGGTAACAGCTGAGAGGCAAAGCAAGCCCCGCTGGCTGTCAGCAGGAACACGAGATAGCGGAGGGGTTCTGCCTTTGATGCTCGCTGCGGGCTGCTCTCGCCGGCGCACTCCTCCGCTGCCGTCCAGCCCCCGCTTCTGCCTTCCAGCGATCTGGGGCTCTTCCGAGGGGATGGCCGGGCAGAGCCCCCGGAGCACGGCAGGGCAGGCAGCGGGACAGGCTCCTTCTGCAGAGGAGCACCTGCTCCCTCGCACGTTGGCAGATCCTTGGGGTGTTTTGGTTTGGTGGGAACATCTGCTTTGCTGCAGCGTCAGGACTCTGCCAGCGGGATGCTCCAGCGGAGCCCTCGCCAGGGCTGGGATCCCCAGGGCCGGTGGGTGAAGTGCATCCCAGCCGTGCTGCCCAAAAAAGGGGCAGAGATCTGATGAGAAGTAGCACGTGCAGTCTGGATGGAGGGAACCAGAGTCCTGAGGGGACTGTGGGGTCCCAGGCTCTGCAGGGACAAAGAAATCCCAGGGCTGGTCCAGTGACACGGGTTGTTAAAACTAAAGTGAGTGTCAAATCCCCTCCTCTGCTCAGGCTTTAAGGGTTGTCCCCTCAACCCACGGGGAATGAAAGCTGCTTTTTCCCCCAGCTCATTTTGAAGTGAAAGCCAAATGTCTCTTCCTTTTCTGCAATCCCCAGAGGCTCTGAGGGTGACATTGGCTGAGCTGGGAGTGACACAGTCTTTCTGGGAAGGTTTCCCCAGTGCTCCCCAAACCCTTTTTGCCACAAAGTTGTGTCCCCCAGCATTTTCTCTGTGCCCTGTGGAAGCCCTGGTCTCTCTCCATGTGGGTTCACTGCAGTGTCTGCCCTCTCTCTGTCTCCAGCTGTGCGTGCAGACCGGATGCGTGGAGGGAGGAACAAGTTTGGACCCATGTACAAGCGGGACCGTGCCTTAAAGCAGCAGAAGAAAGCTCTGATCCGAGCCAACGGCTTCAAGCTGGAGAGCGTGCCTCAGATCATGTCCCCGGTGCAGAGTGACTACAGCCTGTCCTCCACCATCCACAGCATCCACGCCATGTCCAAGCCCCTGCCGCCCAACCCGGCCGCCCTGACGCCCGTGGACTACGAGCGCAGCCCCTATGGGACCCCATCCCTGGGCATGGCCGTGCCCGGCCACGCGCCCCTGCCCGGCTACCACTACCCCTCCTTCCCCAACCGCACCATCAAGTCCGAGTACCCCGACCACTACCCAGCCGCCCACGAGGCCGTGCCTGCCTACATGTACCCAGAGACCTACCCCAGCAGCTCCCCCCCCGACATCCCCGAGCTCATCCTGAAGCTGCTGCAGCTGGAGCCCGACGAGGCCCAGGTGAAGGCGCGGATACTGTCCTGCCTGCAGCAGGAGCAGGGCAAAGGCCGGCACGAGAAGCTCAGCACCTTCGGCCTCATGTGCAAGATGGCCGACCAGACCCTCTTCTCCATCGTGGAGTGGGCACGGAGCTGCATCTTCTTCAAGGAGCTGGAGGTAGGAGCTGTCAGTGGGATGGGCGCTGCTCCGGGGGGACAATGGGACACAGGCAGGATTGAGGCTGCTGTGATGTGAGGATGGGATGTGGCTGTGGGCAGGATTGAGGTGAAATGTTGTGAGGATGGGGAAACACCCGTGGGCACAGGCCTGGGGCCATCACTGCAGATCTGCTGACATGTGCCAGTCCTGCTCCCAGCTCCTGCAGGGCTGGAGGTGCCAGGACCTGGCTGTGGTGCTGGAGTGATTCCCACTCTGTGTGGGGCTAATGATTTCAGATTCATTACAGCAGGGGCAGCTGTTGAGGCAATTGCCGGCAGAGTGACTGTGGTGTCAAGCTCAAGACATAATTGAAAAATGTAACGTTGAGGAATTATAGTTGAGACAATTCTCTCCCCTGCCTTTAGGAGGAAAATCGATGTGCTCAGGTGGGTGCTATTAGCAGCAGGCAGCAGGGGCAGCCCGAGCCTGCTCCAGAGCCGTGTCTGCTGCCAGCAGCCCACGAGTGTGCCCGGCTGGGGGACACGGAGCTGACCTCCATCCTGCCAAGACATCCCCTCTAGCAAATGTCCCTGAACATTTACTGTGGCCAAAGGGGGGCTAGCAGGGCTAGAGCAGCTTCTGCCATCCTGCATATCTTGCCAAGCTTTCAGAAAATTTCCATTCATGTTCTGGGCTGACCTGTGATCCCAAATAGGAGAGAAAATTTTGCAACATGGTTGAAACCCAGAGAGCAACATCCTGGGGCAGCTGTGATGAGACTCAGGTGCTTTCTTGTGTTTCCAGGATGAGACTGTGCTGCCTGGCTTTGGCCAAAATCACCTTCTTCCAGTGGGACTGTGCTGTAGGACAGGACCAGGCTCTTCCCTGTGCCATGGGCGCCATGGGGCTGAGTGTGGCTGAGCCTCATGGCTCAAAATAGCCCCCATCGTTCAGAACAGTGTCAGGAAATGGCATTGTGGGGGTGGGTTGGGCTTGTTTCAATCATATCAGTGTCCTGCCTGGATTTTGGGAACAGGGTGGTTGTTGTTTTGCAGGAGATATTGTAAACAGTGTAAATTCAGTTCCCAGCTGTATAGCTGTGTAGCCTTGTAACTCCATTGTCAGCGTGATTGTGCCACCAAAATAGGCTGTTCCTGTGTGAATCGGTGTTGGCGGGTGCTGCTCCCTCCGTGGGACTCTGAGGGGGATGGCAGTGCCACAGGCCTCACCTGGGCAGAGCTACCAGTGTCCTGCTGGCAGCAGAGCACGTGCCCTGCCATGCTCAGGACAGGGGGTTTGGTGCTCAGTGGGTGTCCACATCCATCACTGCCATCCTGGGGGCTCAAGTTTTTGCCTTATCCACATGGTGATTGTGGGGTGCATTCCCAGCATCTCCCAGGGCTGGGGACTGTAGGACCCAGAGCCCACAATGGCTCCAGTGGGTGAGGGAGAATGAGGCTTGGCTGTCCCTGGCTCCTCCTGCACACAGAGCCCTGGGCAGCTCCGAGCCCAGCACAGAGCAGCCCTGGTATCCTCAGTGCCCCCACCTGGGGCTGGCCCTGCCTGCCCCACACAGCTCATCCTCCCTGGCCAGGGCAGAGGCTTTTCCTCAGGCATGGGAGAGCAGCCAGTGGGAAGCAGGAGCAGCTCTGAGAACCTGAATCCCCATTCCTGCTCCTGCCTGGCACATAAAAGGCAGCGGCGCTGGGGCGGTAAATGAACTCCTGCTAGCGCAGGGTTTATGGCTCTGTCCTAAAGCCAGCACGGAGCAGCATCGCAATCTCCGGGATCGATGGCACTGGCAGTCCCTGCTGGGGGCTCGGGCTCTCAGGCAGGGCTGCAGCAGCCCTCTCCATCCCCTGGGAAGGTCTCTGTGAAGGTGACGGCCCCCAGCCCCAGCAGGGAAGGGCGGTTGGCTGAGGCCAGAGCAGGGATCCAGGCTGGAAAGGCACCATGCTGGGACACCTCTCCAGGGCATCGTGCCAGGCTGGCACTGCATGGGAGGAGGTGCAGGCAGGTGAGAAGGGAGGGGTGGGCAGATTGTCCCATCATGGATTGCCTTGCCTGAGCTTGCCCAGCACTGCCATGCTCCTTCCACAGGGCTGTTAGCAGAGACCTGGCTTCTGCCCAGGGCCTCACAGGGAGCCTGGAGAGGAAGGAGCAAATCTCCAGGGGCAACTGCTGGCACTCGCCTGGTTAGGACGAGCCTTTGGTGCCTGCCCAGGGAGAGTGGGAGCAGTTTCCCCTGGAGCTAGCCAGTCTAGTTCCCATTCCCATTCCCACCCTAGCAATCTGCCGAGGGCCAGAATGGGTGCTCTGCTGTCTCCACACTCCTGGCGTGGTGGCTGGGCTGGGAGACATCGGGGAGAGCCCCCCTGGCTCCACCGCTGCGCCCAGGGAAGGAGGGGGGCCACGGGCTAATGGCCTCTTGACATCGGCTCGCACGCCACGTCCGCCCGCAGGCGCGGGGCAGTCAGATTGAAAACAGATTTAACTTCCCAGATATATCGTTTCATTTAAGGGCCAGTAATTCTGTCAGTCTGCCACTGACAAACGAGGGTCCCCATGCCAATCCGCCGGGAGACTGATGTCGCGGCGCTCATCCCGTGTCACCAGGAGGAGAATTACGGACTGCGCTGGCCTTCGGAGGCAAGACTAATAACGCTGCTGGGCAGAGGGGATTTGGGGGCCCGCCTGCTCATCGAGGGCCGGCCAGAGCCGCGGCGCGAGGACGCGCGGGCGGAGGGGGAAGAGGTCAGCGCTGACGCCCATAAATACGAACTTTAACTGAGTCTAGATGAGATGTGTCAGGACTGAGGGAAGATTTGCAGCATCTTTTCAGGAAGAAAAATATAGGCCGGGGGTGAAATATATTTTGTTGGGTTGTGAGTCTCAGGCAACTTTGTCCTTTCAGATGTAATTTTTTTATATGTATATGGAGAGATAGACAGAGGGATGTGCACGCACGCAGGCGCTTTTGCACACTCACATTGTGTCTGGTTTTGGTGAGGTTTATACACACGAGTCTTGCACAGCCTGGCTTATATAGGTGTCACTGCCATACCTACATATCAATATCGTGAACACAGGGTTGCTGTGACCTTTAGATTGGGATGAGCAGCCAGGAATGTTAAACAAATTGCCACGGTTTCAGCCCGAAGGCCAGGCAGGGCTGGGTGTGCAGCGGGTCCCTGTGGCGCTGGAGGGGCACAGCACAGCCACAGGGTGTGGGATGGTGCCGACCCCTTCCTCAGCCCTTTTGTGCCAAGGGCCTGGGGCAAACCACCCTCCACCAACAGGCAAGCTCCAGGGATGGGGGCATGCTGAGGGCAGCACGGTTCCCATAGACCCAGGGGTCCCTGAGGTCACTGGGTCTGTTTGCCTGGCTGCCCTCCCTCATCTGTGCTCAGAGATCCCAGACCCACGACAAAGCCTATTTGCAGTCAATTGCTCCTCTGCCTTTAACATGTGGGTCATCTTGACCCCATCTCCTGGCCAATGGCCAGAGTGTTTTTGGCAGATTTAAAATCTCCTTCTGGTGGTGGATGCTGCAGCAATGTTTAGCATCCCGTGCACTGGGGGAAATGTGACTCTGCCCTTCATGCAGAGCCGTGGTGCCCGTGCAGCCAGGGCTGCAGCAGCCCGGGAGCCAGCAGGGAGGTGGGATCCTGGCCTAGCCACACTGATGTTGGTGGGTATCTGTTTTAAGATGCACATTGTGGTGGTGTCTGGGCAGGGTAATGTGGACCTGCACTGACCATTAACACCTTGGACGTGCGTGGGTTCGCCATTGCGGGTGGCTGGTGGACACCAATCCACTTTCACACTTCTCAGTAGCCAAGGTGATGGCTCCTGCTTGCACTCAGGAATTGCTGGGGCTGCTCGGGGCGCTGGCATGTGCCACACACCTGGCAGAGGGTGTGGAGCAAATCCTGCACCTGGGATCTGGGAGGAAGCCCAGAGGGCATCTGTGTGGCGGGGTGAGGTCGAGGGTATCTGAGTGCTGCTGGGGCCCGTGGCTGGGGATGGATGTCCTGGCACCAGCTCAGGGCTTCCTGCCAAAGAAGGGCTGCTGGTGGGTCACTCTCCTTCCCAAAGCAGTGGTACCCAGGGTGAGGCTGCCCTGAACCAGCCGTGCAGGGAGCAGTGAGCACTGAGGGGCTGCACCATCCCTGCATGGCCTGGGCACATTCTGGGAGCCCCAACACTCGCAGGGGCTCCCTCGCCTTGTACCTATGAACCCACAGGGAAGGATGCAGAAGATTTAAAACTACACCCACATGCAGGTCCTGCATTCCCATTCCCTGCCTCTGCATGCCCTGCCTCCCCTCCAGCACCTTTCCCACAGAGAACTGCATTTTCTGTGGGTTGCAGCCCATCAGGGATTGCTCTCCCAGAGTGGGGAGGGTTTCACCACGTGTTTTGTGAATGGGTTAAATGCTCGCTTCAAAAAAAGATAAGGATTGCCTCTCAAAGACAGCTAGCATCAGGCCTTTGATAAAGCACTCTGAGGAAAAGCCTTGACATTAAAAGAGGAAGATCCTTTGCTTAACTTTTAACGGGAGCGTGTGTGCTGCCGCCTCGCTGGGAGGATTGATTGCCTCTGAGTGCCCTCCATTAGCAGCCCCTGCTCCTTCAGCCAGGCCAGGGCGGGGTGCACCAGAGACCCCCAGCCTGAGCCCCCTGCAGCAGAGCCTCAGTGCCAGAGCAGGGCCGTGGGAGCTGCCTGCTGCCACCCAGCCTGGGCATGAGCACACCCTGCTTGGTGCTGGGCACAACCCCACAGACCCCAGCCAGCCCTGACCGGCCCACGGAGCCCCCAGCCCACCCCATCACATTCCCCCGTGCCATGGCCATGTGGCTCTGGTGCACTGCGACGTTCCCAGGAAACACCGCGGCACGTTGGAGCGTGCTGGAAAAGGAACAGCCCTGCAGCAGCCATGGAGGGTGAAATGTGCTGCTGAGGGGCTTCAGGCTTCAGCCAAACACTCCTCAGAGTTTGGGAGAAGCTGATTAGTAGTTTTTAAGGGAAGAAAATAAGATTTCAGAATTATTGAAGTGCTTTCTTTGGAAAAGCTAACTTTTTTAAATGGTTTTCAAGGCAAAACCTTCTGTCTGCCTCTTCTGGAGCTCATCCCGCTCAGGAATGAGGCACAGGAAAGAACTTCCAAAACAACACCCTGACTGAGCCAGAGCGGAGGCGCTCGGCACTGTCCGGGACTGTGCAGCTGGGCTGGCCCCAGCTCCCTGCTCGGGCTGGCCACAGCTCCCTGCTTGGGCTGGCCACAGCTCCCTGCTTGGGTTAGCCACAGCTCCCTGCTTGGGTTAACCCCAGCTCCCTGCTCGGGTTAGCCACAGCTCCCTGCTCGGATTAGCCAGAGCTCCCTGCTTGGGTTAGCCCCAGCTCCCTGCTCGGGCTGGCCACAGCTCCCTGCTCGGGCTGGCCACAGCTCCCTGCTCAGGTTAGCCACAGCTCCCTGCTCGGGTTAGCCAGAGCTCCCTGCTCAGGCTGGCCACATCTCCCTGCTCGGGTTAGCCACAGCTCCCTGCTCAGGTTAGCCACAGCTCCCTGCTCGGGCTGGCCCCAACTCCCTGCTCAGGCTGGCCACAGCTCCCTGCTCGGGCTGGCCACAGCTCCCTGCTCAGGTTAGCCACAGCTCCCTGCTCAGGTTAGCCACAGCTCCCTGCTCGGGTTAGCCAGAGCTCCCTGCTCAGGCTGGCCCCAGCTCCCTGCTCGGGCTGGCCACTGCCACAGCTGGCCACTCGCCTTCTGGCAGGGGGCACCAGGGGTGCAGAAAGTCTCTATTTTGGTTTAGTGCAGAATGAGATTTTCCCCAGGGTTTTGTCGAGCAGCTGACCAGGAGCCTCACGCTCTGAAGTGCTGGGCCACGAACAGCAGCTGCTGCACTGGCTGGGGGATGAGGGGCAGCCCCACAGGTGGGCAGGAGCGGTGCCACAGCCCGGTCACAGTGCCCATGGCCCAGCAGGTGGGCAGCAGTCACTGCCTTCCCACCCCACCTGGTTCCCTGCACTGCCACACTCCCAGCTCTGCCACCCACCACCCTCGAGAGACAAATCCCGGCAGCTCGCGCCAGCTCTGAGACCATAAAGCTCTTTCTCATCTGGCTTCTATTCCTTTTGCAATCTCCCAGCGTGGGTTTATTGCAGCCTCTTCAGCAGAACGAGGGCATTATCCAGCCCTGTGATGCTGCATCTGTCTTCCCTCTATTAACGGGGGAGCACAATGGCCCTGCAGAGCTCGGCTGCTGGCACTGGATTTGCTCCTCGGGGTGGTGGTGGAGGCAGTTCCGTAATCCCAACCCTTTCCCTACACTGGCCCTGCAGCAGAGGGGAGTCCAGGCAGGGCAGGAGCTCAGTTCTTTGTGGGAAGGAGTTGGGGTTCAGTGGAGAGCAGTGCTGAGGGGATGAAGCTGGTGACCTGAGGTGTTTCTTGGCAGCACAGTGGGGAAGGCAGTGTGATGGCTCTGCAGCTGCTGGCTCTGGCAGCTCACCCCACCAGTCACTGCTGCCTGCAGTCCCAGTGCCCTGTGAGACCTTTGGGGACCCTTCCAGGCAGTGTCCTGGCTCAGCCCCTCTCAGGGACAGTCCCAGGTGTTTCTCTGGGCACACACACACAGTGGCACATGTGCACCAGGGCACGTGGTCACAAGTGTGTGTGTTGGTGCGTGGGCAGGGCCGGGCTGGCAGCTGCAGGGCACAGCGATGTCCCACGCCTGGCGGCTCCCCCATGGCCCTGCTGCCCCCCAGCCTGCCATCCTGGCAGGACTCAGGATGGGCACTGCCTTCTTTCGTTTTAAAGTATCCAGAGGGGCTGTCTGGACACACAGGCTCTTTGTGCAGCCACCGCGTGCTCCTCCCGCAGTCATTTTGTTAAAATTTGTGCACGATTTGAGGAGGTTGTGCCTGCTGGGGGAAGACCCATGCTGATAACAGCCAGCAAGTGCCACTGAAACATGTTGAGCTGCTTTGAAGCCAGCTCTGCAAAGCCACCTGCCCAGGGTCCCCCTTTCTGGGGTGCAGCTCCAGCTCTCCATGCTCACCCCAGGGGATTCCCCTCCCATGGGATGCCTGCTAGGCACAGGGTGGGTGCTGTGCACTGCAGCACAGTGGGTGTCAGCTCCTGCTCTCTTTCAGGTGGGTGACCAGATGAAGCTGCTGCAGAACTGCTGGAGTGAGCTGCTGGTGTTTGACCACATCTACCGGCAGCTGCAGCACGGCAAGGAGCACAGCGTGCTGCTGGTCACTGGCCAGGAGGTGAGGAATGGCCTCGGGACTGTGCTGGTGCTGTGGAGGGGCAGTGGGGATGGGCAGGGGCTGCATGGGGGAATGGAGTGATTTCTTTCTTTCTTTCATCCCAGTGTGGCCAACTCGGCATAGGGCAGGCAGGGGGTGTTGTTACACTCTGGGTCTGCTTGTGCAGAAGGTCCCATCCTGTCCCATCCTGTCCCATCCTGCTGCACAGTTTCTTTCTGGCTCTGGAGAATAATGTTTCTTAAGACCAACAGTCCCACCTGTGCTGTCAGCAGTGGGATGGGAGGAGGGGCCCCTTCCCTCCCTGGAGGTGGCTTTTGGAGATGTGGTGCCTACAATCCCAGCACCCTGTTTAAAATGGTGTTCCCATTTCACCCATCAGTCTTTTTTTGACACCCCTGCTGCTCAGTCAGCGCTCAGGGCTGGACCTGGCTCCTGCCCCGTGTGAGGTGCCCTGCAGCAGGCTGTGGGGGGACTGGGGCTGCCAAGGCTGATGCCACCCTGTCCTCCTGGCAGGTGGACATGTCGGCCATCGCAGCCCAGGCCGGCTCCATCCTGAACACGCTGGTGCTGCGGGCACAGGAGCTCGTCCTGCACCTGCACTCGCTCCAGGTGGACCGGCACGAATTCGTCTGCCTCAAGTTCCTCATCCTCTTCAGCCTCGGTGAGTGCAGCTGGGGGGCACGGGGGCAGCGCTCCGGGGTCACGGCCGTGCTGCACACACGGCCCGGGGTCCGGCTGTGCCACAAAGGGGCTTTAACGGGGAGCCGGGAGCGAGAGCTGGCTCCTGCCCGGGACACAAAACCTCTCCCTTTGCGGGGCCGGGCTCTGCTCCAGCTGCAGGGGACGTTGTCACCCTCCGGCCGAGGCGAGCCTGTTTTGGTGGCTCTCCCATCGCAGCGGGCAGGGAAACAAGCGCTGATACGGCCGCGGAAAACAGGCGTGTTGACAGAGGCGGCCGGGCCGGGCCGGCCCTATCAGCCGGGATTTGCGTCAGAGAGCCCGGGCAGAGCCGCTGGGCTCGGCTCCGCGCTCTGATTAGGCTCAGCCTGGAGCCTGCGGTCGGGCACAGCCGGCGCGTTCACACCTCCCACCTCAGCCAGACTAAATAACTCCGGGGCCGTGCGCGCTGCTGCCAGAGCCCGAAACGCGCCCGGGGTGGCAGAGCCCGCTCCTGCCCCTGGGGTCCATCCCGGTGTCACCGAGCGCTGGCGCTGGCACGGTGAGCGTGGTGAGCGTGGTGAGCATGGTGAGCATGGTGAGCCCAGCGCCGTGCGTGGCAGACCTGTCCCCATCCCCACCCCTGTCCCCATCCCTGTCCCTGCGCCCGCCCTGTCCCCGTTCCAGTGCCTTGGCTCTGTGCTTGCGCTTCTGCACCCGCGGGGTCCCGCCCAGGGACCAGCGGTGGGAGCTGCGCTGCTGCCCCGTTCTGCACCTGCAGCATCTCCTCCCTCGGCTTTCCTTTCCCCTGGAGCTGTTTGGAATCCCAGAGAAGCGAGAGGCGATAATTGGCTGCTCAAGCAGTGATAAGGTGTGGCACAAACAGTGCCCAGGCTGGGAAATGAACGAGCCGGGGGGGCTCGGACCCCGAGCCAGGACCTGCCCCGGCTGCTGCCCCGCGGGCTCAGCACCAGCAGGGCCGGGTCCCCCTGTGCCCCCTGGCACAGCACAGCACAGCACAGCACAGCACAGCACAGCGAGTGTCCCCCCCGATGGCTTCCCCAGAGCAGCGGCGTTCAGGGAGGGCGTGGAATCCAATAGCCGTGTTTTCCCTTACATCATTTTGCCCCAAATGCAACTTTTTCTCTCCATATTGCAGAGCTCACTTGGAGTAATTTGCCCTTCGTAGGCTCAGCTGTAGAGGACGGGATTGTGTATTATGTGCAGGATGTAATTGCCTTTAACAAGAGAATTTCCACATTTACCACTCTGCCACAGCACAGTCAAAGCCAAGCCCTGTTCACAAGAGCTGCCATTTGAGTTCTAAATAGATTTCTCTCCTGAGCAGGTAAAGAGATTTAATTAAAATTAGGGCTTCTCAAAATAGCAATATTTATGAGGACGGCACAGGTTAGCTTTGTTCTACAGAAGGGCTTAATAGAGCCTTAATGGATTGACCTATCATTCGATTTCATGACTTACATTCATGAAGCAGCTACTCTTGGGGAGGGGAGGAAGAGAGGCTTTTATAGCCCACATTCCCTTAAGCGTTTGCAATTTATCAGCAGCTTCTCCCAAACAAAAGGAGCTGTGAATAGGAAGAACACTTGAGGGCATAGAAATAATCCTAGGCATATCTGTATGTGTGATGGGAGGCTTTGTCACAGGACAGTCTTTGCAACTGCTGCAGTGTCTCTAAATGAAGTGAGTCAATGTTATTTGGACAACATTCTTTATTCCTTGCAGGAATGAAAAGATTATTCAAATATTCAATTAAACAGTGAATAGGGTCTTTCAGAGAACCAGGTGAGTTCATCGAGTAGAACTAGCTATTGTTGAGCCAACTCAGGGGATAGATTTGACATTTATCAATATAACTTCTTTTTTTTAATGACATGCACAATAACCTTATGCAGATAAAGAGATTTCATAACAACAACCCGGGTAGCAGGAGACAATAGGAGCAAATGTGCTGTCAGAGCGAAAAGGGAAGGGTGATCTGATCCTCTGCATCTTGGCACAACCTGTGCCCTTTGTGCCTGCCCCCGCAGTGCCCGTGGCCGTGGGCACGGCCCTGGCTGTGCTGTGCCTCCCCTCCCTGGGGCTCCTCAATCCCCTCGGCCACACCTCTGCTCCCGGCTGGGCTGCAGCAGCCTTGGGTGCCACAATCCCTTCAAGGGACCCCAAACTCCCAGCTGCTTGGCCAGACCCTGAGCAGATTTCCCCGTTTGCAGCCACTGAGTGGGGATTTGGCACATCAGGCTCTGTGTGCAGCACAGCCAGGGGGCTGTGAGTGAGGCAGTGCTCCCAAGTACCTCGTCCTGCACAGTGAATCCACTGAATCCACTTGGCCTGGATGGACCGTGCCAGGGTTCCTGAGGACGACCCTGCAGGGCAGGTGTGTGGGACCATGGCTGTGTGCAGGTGGTGATGGGGCAGTGCCCAGCACTGGTTCCTAAAGCCACTGAAATCTGTGTGTGGGGGCAATTGACCCTGCCTGCCCTGGTGCAGCTGCCTGCTGAGCTGTCACTGCCCTGCTGAGCTGTCACTGCCCTGCTGGCACCGGAGCTGGCAGCAGGATTATGGGAAGCTGCTGTGGCCCTGGCCAGGCGTGGAGGATTAGGGTTTCCAGGCTGGTGAGCCTGGTTGCCACATTGGAAAGACCAGGTTTATCAGGGAATTAATTCAGCCGCTTCCTCGACCTTCAGGAATTAAAGAGGGCTGACGGCAGCAGCTCCCAATGTGTCAGCACAGCTGGCAGCACCTTCTGGCTTTGCAGCTTCCTGGGCAGCGAGGGCAGGGAGACACCAGCCCTACTGCCAGGGGGTTTGGAATCTGTCTCCAGCAACAGGGAAGACCTGGGCAGTAGGGTAGGGATGGAGAGCCCGTGGCTGGGTAGGGATGGGGTGTGGGACCCTCCTGCACTGTTTTCATGCAGGAGCGTGGGTCCCTCCTGGCTCAGCCAGCACGGTGTGGGGGCAGACCCGTGAGTCTGGCACCATTTCATGCCCATGCTCCCCCCTGCAGACGTGAAGTACCTGGAGAACCACACGCTGGCCAAGGATGCTCAGGAGAAGGCCAACGCGGCGCTGCTGGAGTACACGGTGTGCCACTACCCCCACTCCACGGACAAGTTCCGCCAGCTGCTGCTCTGGCTGGCCGAGGTGCGGGCGCTGAGCCTGCAGGCCGAGGAGTACCTGTACCACAAGCACCTCAGCGGGGAGGTGCCCTGCAACAACCTCCTCATCGAGATGCTGCACGCCAAGCGGACTTGAGCGGCCAGGGCAGGAGCCGGCAGCACCCCAGTGCCTCCAGCAGGGGCAGGGCCGGTGCTGGGGTGGGCAGGAGCCTCCCACCCTGCCTTCCTCAGCCACGCTATTTAACCTCTGCTATTGGAAACGCCCCAGCAGGTTTTGTACACAGCAAGGACAGTTGAGGCTGCAGGGCCGTGGCTGGGCACTGCCCCGTTGGCAGTGCTGACCTCCAGCTCCACCGCACACCCGGTGCCCAAACCTGTCACTTGCCAACCCGGCCCAGCAGCACCAAGGAAGGGGAAAGCCTGTCCCGGTTTTTCTCCTATTTCTGTTCCTCCTGCTGCCCCCACCAGCTGTTTCTTGACTGCCGCCATCCCTCCCCGACCCTGCCCATGTCTCAGGGCCCCTCGTGCACAGGGCAGGAAAGAGGGGAGGTGAAACCCCTCCAGGCTGGGGGTTTATGGTGGCTGAGGTGTCTCCAGGCACCAGGGAACACACAGAGGTGCTGGATTTCTGCAGGAATCCACACAGAATGTGGGGGCTGTGCTGGAGATGTCAGCCCCATGCAGCAGTGCCAGGACCCCATGGTGCAGATGCCGGGTCCCACTTGCTGCCAGCTCCGTCCTGAAGCTGCCCTGGCCAAGACAGGGCAGGCAGGGCTGGGCAGTGCTGAATCCTCAGCTGAGGAGCGTTTTCCTAGTGCCTGCTGGTGCTGGAGGCAGCAGCTCTGTGCCAGCCACAGTGCCCAGAGCCCAGAGCTGCCCACGGGCAGCACAGCTCAGTCCTGCCCACAGCTGTGGTGGCAGAGCAGGAGGGAGGGGCAAGCTCCAGCATGTGCTCAGGATCTTGGGGACACTTGGGGAGCTCTGCAGTGCCCCCCTGCATTTGTCTGCTGAGCGAGTGGGTAAGGAGGAATAAGGATTGACCTGCACTTCGTGCTGGGCCTCCTGGCCCCCTCCTTTGCTCTGCCATGTCCCCAGGGGACAGCAAATGCTGTCAGCCACAGGCAAAGAGCTCTCTGTTCCTCCCCCATCATGGGATTTGGGCTCACAGACAGGACTGGGAGCACTGGGGTCTCAGCCCCCCCAAGCTGGGCCGTGCTGGACTCTCACTGTTGCTTTCTCTCGGTCTCAGCCCCACCACTGGGGCTGGCCCAGCCCCTGCCCCACAGACCCCCAGCCCTGGGGGTCCTGCAGCATGGCTGGGGCTGTCCAGGGCTGCTCCCAGGGCTGTGCTGGTGCCCAGGGGCCACTGCAGCTCTGCAGAGCCGGTGCCTTGAGGAGCCACAGGGGCTGCGCCCGGAGCCGTTTGTGAAGCTTGTTAGACACAGAAGAAAGAGCATGTTTGTCTCTGCTTTAACACATTTGTGCATTTTCCTCCTGAAGTCTGTGGTTTGGTTTCACCTTCTTCTTTTTGTGAACTTAACTGGAGAAAATGTTTTGGGAGGTAAAAGAAGTTTTATTTTCAGAAAATGAGAAGTGTCCTTAAGTGTCTCTCTCTGTCTCTTACATCCTTTCCTCCCTCTCATCCCTGCCCTTCCCCACTCCTCCCCCTTCCTTCCCAGGCAGAAGGTTACCAACTTCCTTGTCAGGAGCAAACCACTGTAATAAATTTTGCAGTTCATTTAAAATGGCAAACTTTGTATTTTTTGGCTGTCTTTCTAACCCTGGTGGTTGGTGCTCGGCATGGGGAGGGCTGGGTGTTTGTGGGTGCACTCCTGGGGTGTCACCTGCCTTTGTGGGACTGGGACAGCATGGCTGTGGCAGGGGGCTGCTGCTGCCTTTGCTTCTGGGCACTGGGGACCCCAGATTGGTTCACAGTGCTCCTGGGAATTGCCACAGCGACTCTTAAAGTGTTTTGCAAGTGAGTGCAGGAACAGCAACATTTGTGGGCAATTAGTGGTCCTTGCACCATGGCCAAACCCCCATCTCTGGGCTCAGCCACACAGAGCTGGACATGAGCCCCTTCCCTTGGACACAGTGCAGCAAGGAGAGGAGGTTGTCTTTAAAATCAGCATTTACTGTTGCCATAATCAGCAAAACCCACCACATTTTCTGTGTCCTAAACTCTACAGAGGTAATAGGAGGAGAGGGAAGGAAAGCAGCACCCAGCTGGAGAGGGGCCAGGCCAGCCGGGCAGGAACCCAAGCAGGAGCAGGGAGAGGATTTTTGTCCTAAGCAGCAGAAGATGCTATTGATGTCAGCTGGTGCAGAAAAGGCTTGGGGCCAGCTGCTGGCTTCCCTAGTGCATGTGCCTGTCCCAGCCCTGCCCCAGCTCAGGGTGCTCCCATCCCCACCACCGTGGGACCGTGGGCACTGCCTGGGCACGGCTGCCCTGGGCAAAGCTGGGCTTGTCCCCATCCCACTGCTCCAGCTGCCCCAACAGCAGCAATGAGAGCCATGCCCTGCAGTGCCAGTGCTGCCAGCAGGGACAGGGACAGGGACAGGAGTGGCAGAGCCACAGCCCTGCAGTGCCAGTGCTGCCAGCAGGGACAGGGACAGGGGTGGCAGAGCCATGCCCTGCAGTGCCAGTGCTGCCAGCAGGGACAGGGACAGGGACAGGGGTGGCAGAGCCATGCCCTGCAGTGCCAGTGCTGCCAGCAGGGACAGGGACAGGGGTGGCAGAGCCATGCCCTGCAGTGCCAGTGCTGCCAGCAGGGACAGGGACAGGGGTGGCAGTGCTGCCCAGGCCAGCCCTGGCTGCCCTGCCAGGGGCTGCAGGAGCCGTGGGGAGCCCAGAACACAAGTACCCACCCAGGGGAGGAGCAGGGCAGTCATCAGCAGCAGACAAAGCCCCGTGAGACCCCACACTGGCCCTGCCTTGGTCTGGCCCGTGGGGCTGGGAAGGAGTGCAGGGTGACAGCTCTGCCTGGGCTGGAAGCTCTCCAAGGGAAGCCAGCTCCTTCAACCTGCCATCCTTCCTGCTGGAGGAGCCTCTGCACTGCAGGCTCAGCACCAGAAACTTCTCAGAAACCTAAAGCAAAAGAGAGAAGGTCTCAGCTCTGCTGGCAGCAGGGGAGGGCAGGGGTCCCTCCCAGGCCTGGGGGAGAACTGGTGGGACCCCACAGCCCAAACCTGCCGCAGGGCAGAGCTGTAAAAACCTGCCAGGTGCAGCTGGCATGGGCTGGCACAGCCAGCCCTGCGTGCCAGTGGTACAGCTCTGCCACCCCAGAGACCCCCTGTCCCTTTGGGGGTCCTTGTGACAGGAAGCAAAGCAGTCTCCATGCACAGGGCCATGGCTGTAGGGAAACCTCCTCTCCCCTGTCAGCCTGAGCACAGCACCCAGTGCTGGGGGCATGGGACAATGAGCTTTAAATGGCATTTAGGGACAACAGCAGCTCTGCCGTGGCAGGAGTGCCCCATGGGCTGCTGCTCCTCCCCAGGGTACACGAGGGACTGCCCAGGAAGGGCCTTGGCACCAGGGCTGATCCCACCACGGTCACCCAGCAGGGCTGGCATGGACGGGGTCCATTTCTCCCCGTGACACTCAGGTGCTTTTCTGGCTTTGAATCCCAATGACTCACAGATTCCTTATTATTTCAATCCAAGCTTATGGAACACAATATGGTGAGAGTTGCAGAATTACTCAGTATCGATCAGTGGAAGGCTGGGCTGCACAGACAAGATCCATGTTGCTATGTGTGGCTTAGCAACATATAAATGTATTCAAACAGAATAATGAAATTATCGTGGGGAAACAAAGCAGCCATCACTTGAGGAGATGGAGGATGTGGAGGCCTCTTGGAGCCCTTGTTTGTCAAGACAAGGAAGATGGGACTTATTGTTTGTGCAAATATGTGAACCGCCCCAGCCATGCCCTGCTCACAAAATGTGTGTAATGAAGGCAGGCAGGGCTGGCTGCACAGAGCAGCTCCCTACAGCTGCCTGGAGCTCATTACTGCAGAACTGCTCCATGGACTGAGCCCTTGTGGGGGGAGGCCCTGCCTGGCTCTTGCCACAGCCACGCTGCAAAACTCCCCATTTCCCTGGCTCTGGCCTGGCACTCACCTGGATTTCATCCACCCTTATCCTCACCCATCCCACCTCCCACCTCCCCATGGACCCCCTGTCTGTCCCTCCACTTGGAGCCACTGCAACACCCAGGGTTCTCACAGGAGTGTGGCTGAGGCCCTGGAGCAGAGAGGTGCTGGACCCCTCCCCAGACCCAGCACAGCTTTCCTGGGACACACAGGTGGAACAGGGAACACCTTTCCTGTGTCTGCCACAGCTCCTGCTGGCAGCAGCACCATTTTCATCAGCTGGCTGGCAGCTTTCAAATAAAGATATCTGGGGCTAAACACATCTCTTTTCATTAAACTGTTTGGGAGAGAACAAACAGAAGGGGGGCAGTGTCTGTGCTGGGATGGTCTGTCCGCATCCTGGCACCCGAGGGCTCTGCAGCGCTTTGCTGTGTGAGCAGAATGTGAAGGCACAGGCCTGGGTGAGGCTGAGCTGCCCTGGGCCCCCCAGCACCCCTCAGCTGGGCATTGCAGCCTTTTGTTATCTGCTCCCATGGCTGGAGGCTCTCTGGTAGAGCCTGGAGCAGTGGGGGCAGCGCCACTGCACCAACGCAAGAGTGAGAGGAGAGCTCCTCTGCATCGAGACCTTCTCCTTCAGCCTGGGCTCAAGGATTGCCCAGCCCCGGGGGCAGCCTGGGGGCTCAGGGGGTGCACAGCACTCCTTCCACCCTGGACACAGCCTGGGGGCTCAGGGGTGCACAGCACTCCTTCCACCCTGGACACAGCCTGGGGGCTCAGGGGGTGCACAGCACTCCTTCCACCCTGGGCTCAGCCTGGGGCTCAGGGGGTGCACAGCACTCCTTCCACCCCTGGCACTCCCATGGCACTGAGCCCAGCCTGGTGTTCCATCACCCTCTGTGCAGACCTGGGCTTCTAAAAACACACTGAGGGCTCACCTGAGGAAACAAAACCAAACTGAACAACCCACATCTTTGCACAGCTGGAGTTTAATAACACACGTGGGCTATAAGATATGCAGCAGAAGGGGAGGGTGGGTGGACAG